ATATACAACATATAGAGGGACTGTAATGGTGTTATTTATGACCAAATATCCATTTTATGGATCAAATTTGGTTTGTATCAACATAGTGGGCAATAGATAAGCCTTCCACATTTACTGACATGCACAACTGAGAGATTTTTCTTTTATATTGGACTGTACATGAGGCGAAATTTGTGTGAGGCATGCCTGACACTGAGACAATTACTTCAGGTGGGAATCGAATCCGGGCAGCTGGTTTCAGGACCAAGTCAGTGCATACAGCTCTGGCAGGGTCCACCTAAACTGTCGTCTTCCATTTGTCAGCAGGATTTACGATGGACACCGGCAAGGAGCGCAGAAAATGTTGAGAATGGGCTGCTTTAAAAGTAGACACTTGTATGTTTTGTCTTTTTTTGTATCATTTTGTATCATTGTTGCATGTGTGCATAAATGTGGTGTGTTTTTTAGAGTCTTTTCACCTGAATTTGCACATGTGTACACAAACCAACAGGACACACCTCATTGAATACAAACTGCCATCTCCCAGGGCAAACAGCAAATATAATCACATTTGTAATGTCAAGGAAATAGTGTGTCAATATTTGCTTAGTCTGTTATTGTTGTGAAATGGGGAACTGATGACGGTGTGTCACTGCGGTGTGCATTAGGTTTTGACAGTTGGTCTTTTTTCAGTGTGTCTCCATCTTTTCTTTGGAAGGTCATTACGGAAGGCTTTTCACTAAAACACAAATTAACATAACTTTTATCCTCAAAAACAGCCATTCACAAAGATCAAATTATTTATTACTTAATTTATAAGCATTAGCAAGAAGACAGCTTTTGTTGCAATAAAAGCTAATATTATTGAAGTTATTAGCATTAAGTCTGAAAATTACATCTGAGACTTGTGTTACATTTTGCATTCATTTTGCCCCATTAAGCATTAAATCAGAAAAGTGTCTAAAAAGTAGTAATTTATACTTTCTGGTTGTAACTCACATCTATCCAAAGGCCTACATCCTGACGTCTGTTACTTTATGTCCTTCATTGAGTTGAGCGTGACTTTGCTCTAATAATCTATCTCGTGCTGTGTGAAATATCCTTTTATGCCCAGTCTCATTATCATAATGGTTTTCACTGTTACTTCATGAACCCAAGGCTTCAAATCATCCTATCTTGGTAAGGTGAGGATGTAATGGCAAAAAATCCACGTAAGCTGGTCTCCTCTGCTCTGCCTGTGTGTAGCCCATTAAACTACACTCTAAATCACAGGGACCCCGCTGCCAGATGGTTATAATTACTATGTTGTACACTTTTCCATACCGTAGCCAAAGCCTGCTTCATCTCAATTTACTTTGAGTCACATTTGTTTTGCGGGAGTAGATGAAATAAAGATTAGATTTTAACATTTCAGTTGATATAGTGTTTATGCAGTACAAACTATAATATGTGAAAAATGCAGTTTAAGACAGAATTGCTTACATTCCTATTGATATAGCTATTTTTGCTTCTATATTTAGTTTGAAGAAGGACCAGTGCACAGACCCAGGTGCACCTACTGTTTCTTTATGATCAGATATAAGAAAGACATATCGTTTCCTGCCCAGTGGAAAGAAAGAACTTTTGCGATACAAATTAGTTGTTGGCGTGTCTCGTAGCATTTATCATGGCTGTTCTACTTTCAGCTGAGGTAGCGTACTATTTTTCACTTAGATACACACTTAATCTTCTAATGCTATTTTTCCTTTGTGCACTCTTGTTTTTCCAGCATTTTCTGTCTGTTTAACTTCTCTTATCCCAATTTTAGAGCTGTCAGTAGCTCTACCAGTAGTTCTATGTCTTTGACTAGTTGTTGTCAACATTGTAGTTCTTTTGTTACTTTCACCAGTTTTCCATGTTTATTTTCTTGGCACATCTGCCAGTGTTTAGTTGTGCAAGTTTTTATTAATTAGTAGGTGTTTATGCTTTTTTATAGGATTATTACAGCCAAATCGGTCCAGATGAAATGGCATAACTTATGTAGGTGTGCTCACAGTGAGTGGGATTTGGACATCTGTTGCTACTAAAACATGTTTCCAAACGTCTAGAACCTAAACATATCCTTTCTTTGTCCAGTAGTTATTATTTGACATACAGATTTTTGAGGGCACTCCACTCACAAGACGCATAATATGAATTTCAGGCAAACATCAGTAGAACAATTTCTTAGGTCTTAGTGTGAATCTTCTCTCTTTTGAAGACTGATTATGCTTGAGTTTTGGGTCATTGCCCTTCCTTGCCTTCCAGTATACCTGTAGTCCAGCCTTCTTTCCTACCCCTCACCAAGTCTGACCACAGAGGTCTTGTTAGCTCAATCAAGTGCACTGTATACCCCAAAGGCAGCTCTGTGGCCTCTCATGTTTACCTTCCTAACCACTACTGCATTAAACCTTTTATAGGGGTGGGAATCTATGGGTCACGATTCAGTTCTATTATGATTCTGAGGCTCATGAGCCGATGCAGGAAAAATTAACAATGCATCTTTCTTTTACTGTACATTTTACCATGTCTCTAATTGTAGTGTGAAGTTTCTGACATAATACTAAAACTTAATTTCAGTACAAAGGAAAAGGCTTGATAACACTTTTGACAGCACAATGATAATAAGAGGATTTTTCCATATCAGTACCTGTTGAAATATGTATTTATATTCACTGCCAGTTTCAGTATTGATTTGTATATGGGTATCTCTTTGTTTTGACAACCTTCTAGTGCACAGACTTGATGTGCTTTAATAAAAAGTGGGTCATGGGTTGGTCCGTGTGTAAAGCCTCAGGAGCGTCTTATTGACCCTCAGGCCGGCTGCTGTCTGCCCTTTCTCACCACAGTCTCACCACAGCCCTGTGTACACATGGAAAGCTCTATCTGCACAGGCCATTTGATGGACCACTGACAACGGACCAGTGCTCTTCCCTCTACTTCAATCACTGCTCTAAGACGCACATCAAACAAAGGCGACATGCTTTGAAAAGACAGGATTTTGATGGATAAAAGTTATCTCTTGTCTAACAGGTAAAAGTCGCTTGGTCCAGTAAAGTGGTGTGAAGTCAAGCTACTTATAACAGGTACATTTGTGAAAAAAAGAAACAAAAACAAATCTCAGTATTCTCTTTAAGGTTTAGGGAAAGATACATTATTTAAATAATTTCAGATCTGTTGCTGATAGCATATTCTCAAGAACAATAAGTAACTTTCTGATTGGATCACCACAGTGTCTGGAGAAATCTCTTCACATTTCTGTTAGAATAAGCTTTACATAAAACAAAGTCCACTAAAGGCAACCTCTTGACCTATTTACTGCAAACAACAGATTGTGATGCATAGCTTTCACTTTAGCTTGCACATCTGTATACAGCTGTGTGCGTGGCTACCTGGGGATCGGGGGAAATGATTTTATTCCCTTTCTGCTTGTTATTGTTTGTGAGTTTGTGCGCTGTCCGACCCTGCAGCTGAGCCTCATCTCCATCCTCAGTGGGGGGCCGCACACACCTGTGGGCAGAGGCAGCTGTAATGTGTAAATACAACCACAATAATGCATTCCAATGTGTTTTCTGTTATAAAATATTTATACATTGGACCAGGCGCAATCAAACAATGCATGTGTAATCGCAGTTTTGGGCTATTTTGTAAAAAGCAGGTTAGTGCTGGATACTTAATCTATACTACAACCTCTTTCATGTTTTTCTCCTATCATTGGACTATCTTTACTCCACCCCCACCCACCCCAATGCAGTTTTTTGATCTTCATGGAGTCCCACTTGGGGTGCGCCATCACCTCTTCGTTTCCTCCTTTTTCATTCATCCATCTCAATGCCTCACTTCTGGCCTGTCCCTCTTCCTAACCTATTCTTTTAATCTCCTTTCTCCTTTTCTAATATACGCTCGCCACTCTCTGATCCTCACTCTCACTCGATGCTTTTTGGTCCATCTCTCCATTCATACTTATTTGGAGCATGCACCTGCTCCCCTGTAACCCTACTCTCTCCCCTTGTCTTTGTTGGGGGTGGCTGGGATTGAAATGTGTTATGTATGACCTTTGTGTACACAGGCGCACTCACACAACTCCAGATGATGCCTCTGTAATGCTCTGGACATGGCCTGAATTCAAACTTGAATCCATAGGGTCAACTGTTGTAACATGCTACTTTTTCTCTACACATTTTGTAAAGCTTTTGTACTTTTTTCCCCTCTGTGTCAGTTTTTTTTTTCCCCCCGAAACTACTTGCTTCCACACGCATGCATTCCCACAATCCTTAGCTCTACTTGGTGCACTACTTTGACCTTTTGTTCCACACATAACAGATCAAAGGTCAACAGATTTGTATTCACTCTCCAGTTTTTAAATCACCTAATGGCTATAATATGCAAACAGTAACCAAACGGCTGCTTCTCTATTGGCTATGGCACTATTCCCATGCAAATATTATGCAAATTTTTTCAAGAATTTCCCAAAGCAAGAATTTAGGGGTGTGTGAAGCTGACTCACACGAAGTAATATCTGAAAATATCTAACAAAAATGTGCTAGCGGAAAGTTCCCAGAGTAACGGCAGCAGTCGGGCCCATACTCTGGGGATCTTCGGGTGGGACTTCTCACATGTACAAAACATTTTCTACCTGGTTTTAACATGCTGTTCTTTCTTGATTTAGTTCACATTTGTATTGGTATTATAAAACTAAGTAAGGAAGTAGGACATTGTAGGATCTTTCCATGATTACATTTTAACATTTTCATACAACAACTTTTCTTAAAGGCAGTTTTATTGATTATGATTATTTTGCCATTAGATGTGATGTCTGTGTAATCCCACATTTGTCCATTGAAAAAACGTAGCATTGGATGTGCCTTGTGTGTAAAACAGAAAATTATCATTAGTTCAAATCATTAAATTAACACCTTGATCTGCCTTTTTTGTTCAGTTTTAATATACTTTAAGTACAGTGAGCAAATTTTGTGTGACACCTTTTTTTTCTATTTGCTCAGATGATCCAGCAGATGCAGACTTGTGGGTGCTCAACAGTTGTACAGTGAAAAATCCAGCAGAGGATCACTTCAGAAACTCCATCAAGTAAGAACTCAATCATGGTGTATTTTAACATGTCTTTATTACTACTTTTATTTGTTTTCTGCAGTAGCTAGGGGGCAGAGAAACCTTTCACATTGCATAGATGTTGTTTCCTTTATGAACAGTTCAGGTTTGGTTTTCCGAAATTAAGTGTAAATTATAAACTTGTATTTATAAAATTACAGGTCTTTTTATTGCTTAGAAAATACCTTGAAAAGTGTGTATTCTTTTTACTGTGAGCAGGACCGCCTTTCTTCAGATATGACCTGTAATTAGGCATGGCCTCATGCTGTCACCTGCTGGTGTCCATGGAGATAAACAGGTTTAATGGCATAGTGTAGAACCTTCTAGGCAAAGTAATAACATGTCTATGGAGAGTAGTGCAACTTTGAAGAAATACAGATTTCCTCATTGAGTTTGAGTACTTTCCTTCCTCTATACATAATATTACATCAACATCAATAAAATTAAATCAATAGCACCAGGCAAGGTCATAGGACACCATTTCCCTTTGCATTTGAAAATGCATTCAAAATGTGAGCGTAATTTATTACTGAAAACAAAAGGCTAATGTTCAGTTATGGTCCTAATCATCATCATTACCACAGAACTCAGACCTCCAGTGATATGTTTTAGGAGCTTGCCAAAGTTAACGCATTTTAGGTTGTGGCATCAGTAGCATGAATTAGTTTGGTTCTTGTGTGATGGAAATTAATTCATGTCAAAATGAATTGTCCCCCGTGAGTGTGGCTTACGCGGGTAAATAGGCCACTAGCTAACATGCTCACATAACACACATGAAGCGCACTGTGCCTTTTGTAAATGAGTTGGAGATAAACAGGGGCTTGGGGCTTCACAGTGGAAGGATGCTTTATTACTTGTGGAGAAGTGGGGCTGCTCTTTGCATCCCTGCCATATGTGCGGGACACGCGCCGCTACTGGGAGGAGTGAAAGATTCTGGGGCTTGTTATACAGACAGTTGGCCACACCATTTTCTGTGTGTAAGCAGAAATAGCCTGCACTTTCCAGCATATTATCGGCAGCCATTAATTCACTGTAGGCCCAGCAGTTATAGGAGCATCCATCAAAATCCATGGCAGTAGAATCTTAAAGTTTCCTGCTATTTTGGTCATAGTAAGTTTTAAATGGGATTTTCATGACAGTCCTATAGTTCTGTATTTCTTTATTGCACGGTACATTTAGATATTAGACTTGGGTATTGCCTGCCTGCCTTGCTCCGTATTGTGCTAAAGCCCTAAAGGAGCAGCCACTGAATGCTAAAAAGTGAATTAGCATGGATATTTGGCCGTGCATATGTGTGTCTTTGAAAAGTCCAAATCTGTAGCGTAATTTACTGTCAGAGACCTCTCAAATCAATGAACGCTGAAGGCATTAAAGAAACAGTTGCTCAACAGCATGTAATTAAGCTGCCCTGTGTTTGTAAGCCTCATATTTGTGTGTTGTGTGTGTTGTGTGTGTGTGTGTGTGTGTGTGTGTGCTTGCGCAGACTTCTTCACTTGGCTGTCTCCAGTAATTTGAATGATCAAGGGAATGTAGGCTTAACGAGAACTCGGTTGTGCACTGTTTTCAAAATACACCAATTCCCATATTATATTTACATTCATTTCAATATAAATTTAATATTCATGAACTAACCATGAGAAATAAAAATCATTAATGTTAATTGAAAAGGGACACAGAACCAACAGAACGAACTCTTGGAAGGGCTCCAGAGTGAATAGTGGGGCGTGTGCTGCGCGTTTGTGACAGATGTGCGCATTTGTATTCTGGCCTCAGGCTAAAGGACACTCTGCTGTGGCTTATACACAATTAGAACTGAACTGACATTGTGAAATCTAAACTTTATTTGCCGTTGAATTAGTATAGTGTTTGCTGAATTATGACGTTGATTTGCTGTTAGGCTTATACTAATCTGGATATCCTGCTGGATATCCTGGTAGAACTAGAAGATTAAGCATCTGAACAGGTAGGAAAATGTTGGCTACAATTAGGGCTTGGCTTCCGTCTGCTCGAAATCCAATGTTCTTATAGAAAGAGGATTGGTTGTAGACTCCTTAATTTCGATAACTGCCCAGCCTTGTCTACAAGTATTTTTTTCTTTTACTGTGCGCTGTAAATCTGAAGAGATCAAAGAACTATAGATCCCATTCTAAATGTTACAAGAATATTTGAGGAGATATCGTCCACACATTTGAAAGACACATGCTACAAATGAGTGGCTGTGATTGGACTGTCCCAAAATAAGGCAGTTGTCTAACTGTCTGGTTCCAGGCAACTTAATAGAAAATATTTTATATTGTTAAACTGACTATTTCAATCTTTGCTATTAATATATGATTTATTCATTTGTTAGGCTCACATTGTTTCTTGAAGGACCATTTGCCAGTCTTTTCGTTTTCCATTTTTCTGTTATGGAGGGGAAAAAAGGTACCAGACCCAGGTATATATGTGACCTTTTGAGTTCTTTACTGAGGCCTTTGGTTATGTATGTGGGTTGAGCCAGTGCTGAGTCTTAAGTCTTGGATTTTTAGTCGACTGGACACCAACACTGCCCCCTCAGGCTGCTTTTGGTGCAACCCAGAGATTGGCATTTAATCTGTCACTACTTCAGGGCATTAGCCTACATTTTGGGGTACAGACTAAATCCTGACAGACACAAACGCATGACTGGAGATGGAGAATGGGCCATAAAGGGGCAAAAGAAGCTTGGGCTGCCTTGTGTAATTATGTGAGCTCTCAAATATTTAATTATGAATTATTTATATTATAGCAAAGTGTAATGAGCACACTGATTTGACTAACTATCCTTAAACTGGAATGTGTATCAGACATTAATAACTAAGAATGCAATATCGAACAGTTTTCTGCTTATATTAGCAGTTATCTTTTTAGTGAACTGCAGACTCTCCTGTGAGTAGAAATACACTGAATAATGGAATTTCTATTTATATCAGTGCTCTACATGTTTACAATTCTTGAATTTTACTTTTCCCATCTATTTCCTTTAAGGTTTTTAAATGTTTTTCAGAAGTCTAGGTTTTAGAATGTGTCATTAATCTGTTGCTCAAAAAACCTGTTCATGAAAGCTGAAAGTTTAGTAAGAGTCTTAATTGTTTTAAGCTCATTTAGCTAAAAGGTAATGCGTAAAGCTGGGATCAGGAGGACTAGTGTAATGTGATAATGGTTAAATCCAGCTTTGTCTTTTAATTTGAGGTTAAATGCTTAGACTTTTCCTTTTTTATACAAAGCAGCTATCCTACACCTGCCTGTGCGCCTTAAGTACACAGCAGCATAGACCCAGGCTGCCGTCCGGTCGATGCTCCTCTGAGATCTTCCTTTACAGATTCACAAACAACTCCAGGCCTTCATCCTTTTAGAAGTCTGCGCTCTTAAGGCACCCCACTGTGCTCCAGCCTTTTGACACATCCCAGATTGTGCTTGAGTTAAGCCAAAGGGACCAAGTTCATATAGGAAAGAAGATAGAAAAGAGCACTTTCAACCTGACATTTTTCAAGTAACTGGGCTGCCACATCTAAATTTTGTATTTTCTGAAGGGACTTCAAGTGACTTCAAAAACTCTTCTATCTACGATGACCTGATAGTAGAATCCAATTTACTTTTAATGGAGATATGAAAGGCTTGCTAATGATGAAGGATTTAACAGTTTGCCTAAATGCAATACATTAAAGCCCCTATATTATGCATTATTTATTTAAATACTTTGTACTAGAGCCTGGCAATAAAAGAGAAAAATTACACCATGTTTTTTTTTTTCCCTTAACATGAGTATTACTTTCAACAACATTCACAGACATAGACATAATCTCTCCAAATCACATTTACAATAAGTACTTGTAGCGTATTCAGTTCTAACAACAGTTCCATCCTTCACCTAGTTTTTGATAAGTCTTCTAGTATTGGTTGTTCTGTATCAGGTACTGAAAATCCAAGTACCGTTATCCGAACGGGAGAAAATAAATAATGAAAAAAAAAATCAACTGTGCTGTCAAAGGCGTGGAGTTTGTACACTGTCTTGATCAGAACTAGTAAAGAATTGAGTGCCATGGATCATAAAAGCCGGTGGTGTATAACAGTGAGGGACATGTTTTGATCTTTAGTGAGCGACTATGCAGAATTACTGAAACCTGCACAGATTAAAGGAGATTTATTATGCAAAATTGACATTTAACTTGGCTTTTAACCATGTTAACCATGTTTTTCTTATTTACTCTCTCAAAGTTCATGCATTTTTGACTAATCTTTGTTTTCTTGCATTCAAGACGTCATTATTCTGATCTTTTCACCTCCACGATACATGCACACTGCAATTCACTGAATTTGTTCTTCGTATTGCACATTGCATATTTCAACTGTCCAAAATATAACATAATGAAGCACAGTGTCTTCTTTAAACAAAAAACAACTCCAGCTATGTTGAAAATGATTATAGGTTCTTCATATAAAGCCATTTAACCCTAGATTTCACTCTCTGAAAACAACCATTTGTTCTTTTAGTGACCCCTGTGGCCGGAGTTGGTATCTCTGTTGCAGCTGTGATATCTCTCTCTCCATTGATCCACACAGTCAGGCCACTCCAAAAATCTAATAATTTCAGCAGTGTCTCATCACTGACCTTTCCTGAAAATATCATCAAAATCTAACAATTACTTTTTGTTATCTTGATATCAGTGTAACAAACCAACAATCAAAAGCTTCGAAAATATAATCTTTTAGGGCACAGCTAAATATTGTATGTGGTATCCCTTAAAGCTGACATTGCCTTTTTTGGCCTGTATATTACTTTTGGGATAGATTTAACATTAGTACATGACAGCTTCTATGATACTCATTATGTTGTTTGATAAATCTGCAACAGCCTCCTGGTCAGGTCTTATTGAGCAGGGCAGAGGGCAGCTCAGAGTTCATAGGTCAGGCTCTGCTCTGCCCGTGATGAATTACATGTCTGTTATTGTAGGACAGTG